CTGGTCAGAATTACATAGCACGGACTGAAAATGGGGAGACACTGCAGGGCTGGGGGGCGGGGGGGCGGGAAGACCCATTGAAAGGCTGTTGTTTGGGCAGAAGAAGAGGAGGCCAGTCTGAGGGCAATGGCGGAAGGATGGAGAGGGGCCAGATCTCAAAGGCTGCTCTTCTCTGGGGCCTCTGTGTCCCTGGCAGCAAAGCTGAGGCTAAAGGTCCCACATCAGTCAGTTCTGCTGGAACTTGGCACTCTGCCTTCTATACCCAACACACTCCAGGGTCTCTGCATGCAAATGGAGAAGGGAAGATGTGTGGGAGCAGGGAGGGAGGGGAGAGGAGGGGAAGGGAACGAGGTCTGGGGCTGTGGGTTGGTTAAGGAGTGGTAAGGCCCAGGTAGACTTGTCCAGCCCCCACTGCGCCTCCTCCGGCCCTGCAGAGGAAGGGTTAATATGCGTCACCTCCCTCCCTCCCCTCCTCAGGTCACCTTCTAGGCCCTGGAGACTTGGCTGGTGGCTCAAGTTCCTCAACCAGTGGCCCTGAGTAATCAGAGCCCACAGAGGGGCCGGGGGCCTGGGGGAAGGGAATGAGAAATCAGGGACAACGGGGGCCTTAGAGACTGAGGGGCTGGGCGGCATCTGTGAGGCTGAGGGTTTGGGGGGATACCCAGGTTGGTTCCCAACACTCCCCACCTGACCCAGGACCCAGTCTCTGCTCTGATCTCAGTTTCTTCCACCCACCAGAAGAGAATTCCTAGAACTCCTCTCCTGGACTGTTGGGCGGTGGGCAAGCTGGGAGGGGGAGGGGTGATCTATTAGGAAGCTTTTCAGCTGCAAGAGATGGGGTCCCTCCCCCTAGTGCTGGGAACTGGCCATAAATGAGTCTGTGGTCAGTGAGAGACCTGTGCTAATGGAACCTGGGCTGCCCCCCAAGCCACAGAGGGAACGGAAGAGGGGAAAGTGACCTAAGTACAGCTCAGCATCGGGGAGGGTGCTGACCTGAAGCCGAGATGGGTGAGGGGACTGAGCGGAGGAGGAATGGGGTCAGGGACTGGCTGGAGGGAAATTGGGAAGTCAAGGGAGTGTGACTGCAGGAGAATTGGGGGTTCAGGAAATAACTGAAAGTAAATTGGGGTCAGGACAGTGATGGAAAGGAAACAGAGAATCCAAAGGAATAAGTAGAAGAGAACTGGACTGGGGTATAATGGATATTGGGAGAATTGGGGAGTCAATGAAATAATTGGGGGGATTGTGAGTCAGGGGGAATTGGAGAGGAATTAGAGGTCTGAGAGAGTGCCAAGGGGGTGTGGGGGCTCAGATATGCCAGAGGCCTGGCTGGACCAGGGGGGAGTGAGGGAGAGGACCCTGAATTGGGGTGGGAAGGCTGAGGGGACGCTGAGGAACAGATTGGAGGATGAGAGGGAGCTTGAAAGTGTGTGTGTGTGTGTGTGAGTTTGTATGTCTGTGTGTTTCGAGAGAGAGAGAGAGAGAGAGAGAGAGAGAGAGAGAGAGAGAGACACGGGAGGAGCAGGGACTTTTGCTGGCTTGGCAGAGAGCTAGGGACTATCTAGGATCTAGGTCCCGTCCCACCTGGAGAGGTGGGTACCAGGCGCCCCTAGGATTCCCCAGATTTCCATTCTGTCTTCAACCCTCTCCTTCCTGCTGGAGCTGGTGATGAAAAAAGGGGCTCCGGGCCCCCTCCTCTCCTCAGCCTCCCTTTCACTCTGCCTTCAATTATTCATCAGCCCAGACACCCGCCCTCCCTGGCAGGGCAGGCCGAACCTCTCTCCATGCCCCGCCCCAGCTCAGCCACACTGCCACACAGGCCTGATGAGGAAGGACACGCTGGGGCCAGCCCTTGGCGGAGACCTGGCAGGAGGGCTGGTGGCTGGCCCTGCCAGACCCTGCCTGGGACCACGTCTCCTTCACCTTTCTCCTGCCAATCCCCTGGTGCCAGGCAGCCCCTGGTGAAGATGCCAATCCGGATCTTCTGCTCCGTGTCATTCTCCCCTGGAAAGGAGGCCCCCGGGCCCTCGGGAGATGTTCAGGGTCCCCAGCAGCAGCAGCAGCAGCAGCAGCAGCAGCAGCGAGACAGCTCAGAATCAGAAGAAGAGGAAGAAGAGAAGGAAAAGGAGGCGCCCAGGAAGGAGGCCAGAGAGGGGGATCTGCCCGAGGACTTGGTGGCCTTCGCCAGCAGCTGCACCCTCCATGGCCCCAACCACATATTTGTGGCAGGGGGTCCGGGGCTGAGGCAGGCCCTGTGGGCGGTGGCCTTTGTCCTGGCACTGGGGGCCTTCCTGTGCCAGGTAGGAGACCGAGTTGCCTATTACCTCAGCTACCCTCACGTGACCCTGCTGGACGAGGTGGCCACCTCGGAGCTGGCCTTCCCCGCGGTCACCCTCTGCAACACCAATGCCGTGCGGCTGTCCCAGCTCAGCTACCCTGACCTGCTCTACCTGGCCCCTATGCTGGGGATGGACGAAAGTGACGACCCTGGGGTGCCCCTGGCCCCCCCAGGGCCCGAGGCCTTCTCTGGGGAGCCTTTTAACCTGCACCGCTTCTACAATCGCTCCTGCCACCGGCTGGAGGACATGCTGCTCTATTGCTCCTACTGTGGGGGGCCCTGCGGCCCTCACAACTTCTCAGTGGTGAGTGGGGACCCGTGCCCGGCGTGGCACCCCGAGAGTGTCTGCCACGGCGCACCCTAACCCTCACTTTCTGGGGCTGGGGCTGGCGGGTCCTGCTCCTCCCCCACCTCACCTGGACTGCCCCCCCTCTGTGACATGTCTCAGAGAGGCCTGGCCAGGGCTCACCCAGGAGCCCCAGGGTCTGGAGCTGGGCTTCTGATCTCAGTACTGCTGTTCCTGTTAAAATATTAAAGTGTGTCGTGCTAGTCAGTAATTAATTGCTGCCCAGCAGGTGGGTGCCTGGGCCAGGCAGTACCAACTGTGACTCTCCTCCCTGGACTGGAGCTGGGGCCGGCCCACTGGTTTCTGGAGGTGGAAGAGTGTGGAAGGGAGGTGGAGCGTGGGGACAGCCCTCATCTCCGCCCCACCACACCCTCACCCGCAGCTCCCACGGCAGGGGCTTCCCTGCATCCTCCCTTGGTCTCCCTGTGTTCCTCCTACAGTGTGTGTGTGAGTGTGTGTGTGAGTGTGTGTGTGTGTGTGTGTGTGTGTGTGTGTGTTTGCGCGCGTGTTATTCTGGGGGAGGAATAAATCCCTCCCACCCCGCCCCCAGCTCTAAGTGGCCAGGGACCCTCTTCCCAGGGAAGCCCTCATTGAGAGAATCAACCTCCTTGCCGTTCTGGAGTCTAAGGCCTTTCCTGCGGAGGAAACCCATCTTTTCCCTAGTTCAGCTTCCAGTTCTGTCTGACCAGGTGCCAGGTGCCACGCCCTCCCTCCCCACACACCTCGGTCCCCAACCTCCTTCCTAGTGCAGGAGCAGGCGGGTGTCAGCATACCAGTGCATCGCAGAGCGGCTGCAGACTGAGTGGTCTGCGGGGCCTCACACAGGCCAGGACATAGAGCAACACCGGACAAGGAAGGGATCAGCTTGGCTTCCTGCCTCTGAACCGAAGGGTAGAACAGACACTTCTCACCCAGAACCACAAGAGGGCAGCAGCAGCCCACCAGCCAGCAGCACAGCTCTGAGCCAGGCCAGGCTGGACCAGCGCGCCTCAGCCCCTGGGAGCTCCTTACATCCCCAGGCGGAGGGCAGGCGTGGTGTGTGTCCAGCCTGAATGCCACGAAACCCAGTAGTGGGCTGGGGGGATTAGGAGCTGTCAGAGTTCTCTTTCTGCCTCATCGTGGGACCTCGCTCCCCAAATGGGGGACAGCATGTTTTCTTTTCTGGAGGGGGGAGAAGGAGGTTGTTCTAGGAAGGTGGAGGGGGCAAGGACTCTACTCCTAGCAGCGCTCTGTCCCCCTGCTGCTCCAGTCTGGCCAGACGCTCCGTCTCTCTCGTCCTCTGGGCTGTGCCTGGACTCACCTATGACTCGCGCCAGCAGCAGTGAAGCTCACTCACCCCATTTGTGGGAACCTGGAGGCATTCAGGGAAGCCGGGGAGAAAGGGCCACAGAGCACTGGCTCGCTCCTCTCTGCTCTTGGGGGTGGAGTGGAGAGACTGTCCCGGCGGAGATCTGTCCGGAGGCCCTGACAGTCCTGCAGGCGCATTGCCAAACGTGCCAGGCCCTGGCAGCTCAGCGCCCGGTGCTGAGAGAAGAGCTGCTGGTGCTTGGGTGAGCCCAGTCCTGGGCATGGCCACTGGGTTTACTTTCAGGTTCTGGTGATAACGGGACGATGAGGGACACAGGGGCGAATGGCCTGAGGAAACGAAAAGGCTTACTGGGTTTGGAGGAGGGTCTTGGGGAGAGGGGCCCTCAGAGGGCTGGGGTGGGGGCCAGGGTGCGGCCGTGGTGGGATCCTGGTGTGGGAGGTGTCTGCGCCAGGGTCCCAGCAGGAATAAGATGGCCACTCAGATGGTTTGATTGAAGAGGACTGAAGGAGGCCTGTTAACAGAGCGTGGGCCAGAGTTTAGGAAACCAACCAGGGGCCTGAGGCCCGGCAGCCGTGGGACATGGTCACACACAGGCAGAAGGAGCGCAGGCGGCAACGGGCTGTGCAGGGGGTCCTCCGGGCAGGATGGTCACCGAGGGCCAGCCACTGCCAGAACCTCAGCCGCGTGAGGGGTGGGGAAGGAGAGGTGCCCCGTCTCTCCCTCCTTCTGCCCCCTGGTCTCTTACTGATGCCACCCATTGGCCAAACCCAACCAGAATCCTGTCCAGGTAGCAGAGGAGCCCCCACAGGGCTCAGCTTTCCAGGGCACACAGCAGGGCGAAGGAGGGCAGAGAATGGGTGGGAACAAAGGCAGATGGCGAATGGGCTGCACAGGAGGAATCAGTCCGGAAGGGCACTGCGATTCCGGCAGCTGGGGGCAGTCGGGGACGGCCCTGGGGGGGCAGGGGGTGCGGGCAGGGCTCTCAGCTCTTCACCTGCCCCTGCCAGGTCTTCACACGGTATGGAAAGTGCTACACGTTCAACTCTGGCCGAGACGGGCGTCCGCCGCTGAAGACCATGAAGGGAGGGACGGGCAATGGACTGGAGATCATGCTAGACATCCAGCAGGACGAGTACCTGCCTGTGTGGGGGGAGACTGGTATGTCACCCCTCGGGGGCCCCTCCCCGCGGTTCCAGGCCTCCGCCTCTGCCAGGGGACTCCTGGGCTCCACTGTGGGACCCGAGGCAGGCCCGGGGCTCTGCTCCCTTCCTCCCAGCACCTCCCCATCTCCCTCTCCGAGGCCACCTGACTGACTGCCACACTCAGGTTTCTCCAGCTCCCCCTTCCTGGCTCAGTTGCTCTCCAAGGTAACCAGCCGCCCCTCTCCATCAGTGGCTGCCACTCGCTCTATAAATAACTCCCTCTCTTGGGCTGCCTGTCGTCTGTCTGGTCTCAGGGGCCTTGGGGCAGAGAGAGATGGGGGAGAGGGGAGAAAAGGGCAGGGAGGGGGGGAGTGGAGAGCATCTGAGGAAGAACTGGAAACACCAATGTGCATAGCCGAAGCCCGGTAAGAAAGAAGCGTGCAGGGGGCAGTCATCGGGGCAGCACGGGGCTGGTGAAGCCAGAAGGGAGCTAGGGGTGGGCGGGGGTCCCATAAACGGAGCCCCCAGCCCCAGTGTGTGCTGTGCCTATTCCCGAAGAGCAGGATGCCCCAGCCCTGGAGGAGGTTAGGGACTCAGAAGCCTCCTCAACACCCTCCCCCTCATTCCCATAGATGAGACGTCCTTCGAAGCTGGCATCAAAGTGCAGATCCACAGTCAGGATGAACCTCCCTTCATCGACCAGCTGGGCTTCGGTGTGGCCCCAGGGTTCCAGACCTTTGTGGCCTGCCAGGAGCAGAGGGTGAGAGGCCGCAGGAGGATGGTCCTGGGTGGGGTGCTCAGGATGGAGCGGTGGGCCATCGCTAACAGGAGGGACAGATGCGGGAGAGCCTGGGTAGCGATCTGGCTCGTGAGAAGCACGAATGACCTGATACACTGGGATGCTCTCTAAACTCTAAGACGCTCAGAGGCTGCGGAGGGAGAGGGGCAGGACGCCTGAGTTCTGCATCCTGTTAGAGAAGCCCATCACGGTGACTGGGGGAGAAGTCTCCACACCCCCCAGCTCCCCGGCTCTCCCAGCAGCTCATCTACCTGCCCCCGCCCTGGGGCACCTGCAAAGCTGTTACCATGGACTCGGATTTCTTCGACTCCTACAGCATTACCGCCTGCCGCATCGACTGTGAGACCCGCTACCTGGTGGAGAACTGTAACTGCCGCATGGTGCACATGCCAGGTCAGGCCCCACAGCTCCCAACACAGTCCCGGGGCCCCTCAGCCGACCCTGCCCCTCTCCAGCTCCCCGTGCATATCGACCTCCTACCGCCGGAAGGAAGACCAGCTGGCTTCTCCCTCCCCCAGTCCCAGCCCTCATTCTCATCGATGAGACGTCCATTCCACACCCATGTGTCTCTGTGCCGTATCTCTTGCCTGTTCCCATGGGGATGGATGGGTGGGAGGGTCCAGGAGCAGTGGACTGTGGGGTGAGTCACCTCCAGGACAGACTGGGGGGTAGCTAGTCTCACCCTCTCCTTCTCTCCCAGCTTCTAGACCGTTGTTACAACCACTGTCACAGAGCCCTTTCATATTCATCCTACACCACTGTCTCTCTCCTCTGTAGGGGACGCCCCCTACTGCACTCCAGAGCAGTACAAGGAGTGTGCGGATCCTGCTCTGGGTGAGCGCCCCCGCCCCCGCCCCAGGGCAGTCCGGGGGAGGGGAGGAGGGACTGCCAGCCATGGCACAGGGGTTTCAGACCAAGCTCCCAGAAACTTCAAATAACTCCTGGATTGGGCTTCACCTGGACTCCCCTGTGTCTGACGTTAGCAAGGCCGGGAAGTGCATCTCTAAAGGCCCCTGTGAAAAATGGACCAGGGTCACCTGGGAGGGGCCCTCCCTCTCTCTCCTCAGCAGCTCAGCTGGTTGACTCCCAAGGTCTCTGAGGGAATGAGACCCAGGACTAGGAAACACCCTTGGGAGGCCGGTGTGGGCGGGCGCAGGGCTGAGGGGAAGGGCAGGTCAGAAAGAGAAGGGGTCGGGGTTCCTTTGGGCAAGGCCAGGATGTGCAGGCGGGAAGGTGCTGGCCGAAAGGCACCACTCAACTGGCGCCTCTCACCTGGCTGGGCACAGACTTCCTGGTGGAGAAGGACCAGGAGTACTGTGTGTGTGAAATGCCCTGCAATCTGACCCGCTATGCCAAGGAGCTGTCCATGGTCAAGATCCCCAGCAAAGCATCCGCCAAATACCTGGCCAAGAAGTTCAACAAGTCTGAGCAGTACATAGGGTAAGGGCGCTGGCTATGCAGGGTGGGGGCCCTTGGGCTGGGACTGTGGGGGGTGTCAGCAGGCTTTGGTGGGGGCCAGCAGACAGGAGGAAGTTGAATCTGGGGCGAGGAAAGATCACGTCGGAACAAGCAGGGGAAGTGCCTCTTTCTCCCTCCTCCTCACCTCATCCTCTGTTTCCGTTCTCCGTGCTGTGTCTGGGGTCACCTCGCCCTTGCTAGTGTATGGAGCCTCTTTTTGTGTGTGCCATCACATGTAATCCTCACCACAGCCCTAACGGGCAGGTATCCCATCAGCATCTCATTTGACGGATATGGAGACTGAGACCCAGAGGATAACTTACTGAAGTTACCCAGCTAGTAAGGGACCGAGATGGGACTTGAACCGAGGTCTCCTCCCCCAACCCCTTTGCAGGGAGAACATCCTGGTGCTGGACATTTTCTTTGAAGTCCTCAACTATGAGACCATTGAACAGAAGAAGGCCTATGAGATTGCAGGGCTCCTGGGTGAGCTGCTGATGGCACCTGTCCCCTTCCCATGTCACCCAGAGCAGGCTGCTCACCTCTGTCCCATGAGCTCTTCCTCCTCAACCACCCCCGGGGGCCTTTCCCCACATGTTGTTGTCTTGGTATGTGGTGGAGGGAGGGGGCCGAGCCTTCTCTTGGGGCAGATAGGAAGAGACAGGCCTGGTCATGAACGGGGAACTATTTCCTACACCCTTGAAAATTTGCCTAGAGAGTAAGAGTGTTGGGGTATTTTATAAACAATCATTTTTTTCTGAATAACACCTATTCATTTTAGAAAGTAGGAAAAAAA